GATCATATAGCTAATGCCCCAGTGGCAGAGAACATACACCAGCAGTTCAACGTATGATACCCTAGTGCAAGCAATTAGCTTGACTTGATTTATAGTTTCATCAGTAAATGCAAAATTATGAGGTCAGAATTTTAAACCTGTATTTCTCTTACAACAATTATGGCACCAGATTTTTCAGTATCAATAAGAATACCAGTAATGAACATGGTAACCACTGTTTTGGGTACCCAAGAATTTAAATGTATATTCAAGTTAATTAAATCTTTTTTAGGAATATGAAGCCATCTACCTAGCAAAATTAACCATACAGATGATGTCACCACTCCAGATAGAAAGGTCATTATCCGTTCATTCTGGACCCACAGGTAAGGATGTTTTTTCATTTTGGAGAAGGTTGGGGAGAGAGATGATGGTATGAAAGGTAGAAAGCATCTTTTGCTCTTTATTGGTTATACTGAACAATTTAAATTGTTTAGAAAACTTGGGGTAGACTATTGAATTAAAACAAGATAATTGTAAATTTTAATTTTATACTGAATACATGTGTATTATATTGAGCTTCTACTGTGTAAACACCACTGTACTTGGTTAATAGAATAGGCTAGTTAGAAGATCACATTTCTGCTTCGTTTTAGTTTAAGTCTTTAAGTGGTGTAACTGCTGTAAAGATTAAAATAAGAGGGATCTGGAGAAGGGGCTTTAAGTACACTCCATGATCTTACTAAAAATAAAAGATGGTTAAATAAGTGAAAGCATGTTTCAAGTTAAATAGGGTGACTAATGTGAGCCACCCCAGTTTTTCTCTTGTCATCAATATTTCAGTCCCTTCTCCCTTTCTTCCCTTTTTCAGAGTATTCTCTCCTTTTTTTTCAAAGTTAATGATCCAAGCTTGCTGTCAAAATCTTTTATCTTTCTTCTCCAAGACCTTTGTTACCCTTGTTTGTATCCTTTCCTTTTTACTCAGTCTCAGTCTATTTCAGGTTCATATTGGCCTCCTATCCAAACTCTAACTTGGTTTATTCTGTACATTCTTGCCAGATTTATTTTCATAGAAGATAGTTCATAAAAGATAGTTCTAATGTATTTTTCCTGTACAAAAGCCTTCATTGGTTTTATTCCTACAGAAGAAAACATAGAGTGTCATAGTAAGTAAAGGCACTTCTGACCTTGGTGTCTCTCAGAGTTCCTCTTTATATATGCATTCCAGAAAACTGAACTCATGGTTTCATTTGTGTCTTCTTTTCTCCACGTAGAGTGTATCACATTGTCTCTCTACCTTTAAAAACTTAGTTCACACGTTACTCAAGAGAAAGGATGATTAACTTAATCTTCCTCCAATCCCTAGTTCTTTGGAATTCCTATACTCTAGAGCTTTATTTGTACCTTCTCACTTGCTGCTTGCATTAGTTGTTGATGTTTCTTACCTCTTTTAGATCCAAGTTCAGCACTTCATCTGAAACTCAGCTAGACCAGCTGTATTTAGCTTTATGGCTAGCATATTTTCTTTATCCCATTGCCTTGATATTCTATCATTATTTTATTGATCTTATAGTGAGACATTAGTTTCATGTTAGAATCCAACCTCTGATACAACATTATTACCATGATTTAGCCCAACCTTTTGGGCATAACTTTAAGCTTGTGCCATTATTAGGCAGATAACACAGTAGACCCTTTACCATTTTAATTGTTCCCCTAAGTTTTCCTCCATGGAGACTCAAATTTCTTGACTATAACTATTGGCCATATAGGGGTAACTTTGATTCTATGTGGAAAATTTCTGTACTAGCAGACTTTGATGTAAAGAGTAGGTAAAATAAAATCTGCTCTGTGACATCCCGTCCTTTCTCTTAGTTTTAGACTTCTTGGTAATCAAACCACAGCTTCACTGGAAAAATATTTTCAGCAGTGTCTATGAAAGCAAAAAGATAATCATATCTCAAAAATAAGATTGCAAAAATACAAAATTAATCTCTTAAATTTTATGTTCGAAGTCACAGGTTTATGGTGCCTAAAAAACAAACTTGGCAACCAAACATTTAGGTACCATTATCTCTTTAAAAATTCTGTTTTCAAGATATTTTAAAAATTAATGATTGTGGGGCACCTAGGTGCCTCAGTCAGTTAAGCATTTGCCTTCCACTCAGGTCATGATCTCACACAAGAGATTGTGAGTTCGAGCCCCACATCGGGCTCTCTGCTCTCAGTGCAGATCTTCTGTCCGCCACCCCCGCCCCCAAAATAAATAAGTAAATAAATAAGTATTAATGATTGTTATTTGTAATATCTAAGACATAGTTAATTCTCAAGAGGGGAAATATATCCTGTCATGAAGATATAAAATTGTTTGGGTAACAGAAGAATTTACTAACATTTACTAAAAATTCAGTTATGGAATTCTAGTGAATATCCCTACATTTATGAAAATGAAATTTTTACTGGATCTAACATTGTAGCAATTGGACTTATTTAAGTTCCCATTATATGTTATATTCATGCAATAATTTTTAGGCAGTTTGAAGAGAACACATGAAGAAGAAGATGATTTTGGAAACATGCAAGTGGCAACTGCACAAAATGGCTGACTCGAGAGCAAGATTACAGAGGATGTGAATTTCTATTTGGGAAGGAGAAAATACTAGAGACAATAATAATGTAAAATGGTAAAAATACAAGTAGTTTTTTTTTTTTTCAATTATATGTTGCTTCCAGACGTGTTTCTCTGCAACTTGTTGAGCAACATTTTAAGAAGATGTTGGACTTCTGCAATAGATGGCACTGATGGTTTTACTCCTTTTTTCTTTTCTTTTTCCTTTCTTTCTTTTTTTCTTTCTTTCTTTTTTTTTTACACTTTACAGTTTTATTATAAACCAAGAATTTTGGACTTGCAAAGAGGTATTATTGCAATAATGCACTTTTCATACTTGAAATTTATTTGTATGATATAAAGTTATTACTTTAAACAAAATGCAAGTTAGGGGGGATTTGTTTATAAAATCTGGGTAATTTATAACGAGAATTTCCTAAAGTTTGCTAAAAATTCATTTTGTGTTCTATATATTACATTTTAAAAATAATTTTACAGTTCACTTTTATGATGGAACCTCTTATGGAAACATTAGCAAATGCAGAAATCTGCCACATACCTGTTTTAGTATAATTCAGTAGCTTCATTACCCTTTTATTTTTTTAAACTTCTTTATCCCTTATTAATAGTCTTTGAATCATGACATTAGCCAACTTTTCTTACTTTAACATGATCCAAGTATTGCTTCTATTTCTATTATCTTCGTAATTTGTTTATTCTAAAGAAAAAAAGTATAATGAACAGAGGAAGATGTTTTGCTTGGTGATACCAGATGCTAAAAAACAAGGAGTTTTAGACTTTTGAGTGACTTTCCTTTTTTCCTTAACAGCCAAATGTTGTGTTTGTTCTTTTTAGAGTTGCCTACCCCATTTTTTCTCTGTCCAAAATAGTTCGAAATAGAATATAATAACCAATGTAGCACTATTTTTTTTCTAAATGAAGCCCAAAAGAGAAAAGTGCCTTGCATTATTAAAAAATTAAAAATAAAAAAATAAATCTTCACGACCTCTAAATTAGTATGTATAACGGTGAAAAGTTTTTAACGTTCTTTTGTAATTTCTTTTTCTTTTTAACCACAAATTAGTTAAAACAGAGTCTGCGGCTTAAAGAAACCTCAGTAAGTTATTAATGTGAAATATTTACTCCTTCATTTTATGTTGTCTTAATGAGTCTGTGAGGTTGTTCTGGCTCAGATAGCAGCTTTTCTTGAAGATGCATTTATTGGGGAAAGTGGTTTGTGGGAAACCTCATTGTATTTAAAATTAGTGTTTTAATTCTTTACATTGAGTTAATCCAAATTTCCCCCATAATTTGCATTAACAAAGTCACTTTATGGATCCTTAATTCTCCATATTTTTATTTATACATATAAAGATTGTTCTAAGAAAAACATTTTTGCTATTTTAAGTATGCCATGAGGGAGGAGAGGAGTGTTTTTAACTTTTTATAGTTGATTTAGGGTAGCACAAACAAAACTCCTTTATATCTCATTTTTCAGTCCTCTCTTGAGGTGCTTTACTGATGGGAATGATTTCCATACATTCCCTTGGTACCATCAGGTACTATGCAAGGTAACCCATTACACCAAGTTACTTGTTTTGCTTTCCTCCCTACAATGTAATATAATACAGTAAAAAAGCTTTTTATCCAGCATAGCAGGAGAGTGGAAATGAATTAAAATTGTTTTATTAACTAAGAGTTAATTCCTATTGACCGAGGTGGTATTCTTCTGATTCCTTTCTCTTCCCCTATTTTACCACCCTGAGAAGAGCCTATGATTAATCCCACTGTGGTCTTGTATTCTGTTGTGTGATTAGGTCATGGTGTGGTAGTCCAGTAGAGTCAAGATTTGCATTGTGTTCAGAAATTCCACTTGGCAAAATGCCAGATAACACAGCTTTGCTGTATATAGATCACTATATAGGTCAGCAAAAACCTCTCTTGCAACCTAATAATCTGTGATGCTTCTTCATTCAGCAGAAACTCTGCTTAAAAGAATCTTTGTAATACTACATTTAGGTTTTAAAATGAGGGAGTTAAGATCTTTAAAATTAGTTTCTTAAATACACATATCCTCTCTAGTCTGGCCAAAAATACAGATTTGGTCATTTATTAATTTAAAGCTGGTAATTTTCCACTTTTTCTAACCACTGTAATTTTTATGTTGTCACTGAAGTGCCTGCCCAGCACTGTATATTAAAGACTGTCTCTTGAACACTAGGAAAAGGGACTATCATCTTCTTGAGTACAGTACTAATGGGGACAAAACATGAAGTTTATTTTTCTTTCATGTAAGAACACCCCAAGTTTGTTTTACCTAAATTCAACTAGTTCTGGTAGCTCTTCTAGTCTTTCTTCTGTTTGGTTCCATTTCTGTTAATTCTTTTATTTCTACAGATGTTTTGTGATAGTTACCTATAATACATTTAACCAATCATGACTTTTTTCTAGACTATTTGAATAATGTATGAGTGATGTAGCACCTAATTTTAGACATTAAATATGTTATCTGGGCAAGGATTTAAACTGAAATTGCAGGAAAACTGCTTTACTGTCCACGTTAAAAGTATGAAACAAGTATTGAAAATATTCAAACTGGAATGGCAGTATTCTTACCCTCTAATTTTAATTAGTTCATGTTAATTTCTTATCTATTATGTGTTTAAAGAGCAGTTACCTTTATTTGTATCTACTCTATGGTGGAAATGTTAAACCATGATAGCTTCTGGCTTCTGATACCAACTCTCAACCACTTAACTTTTACAGCAGAATATTTGTTTTGGGGGGAGGGGGATTTTGTGCTTCATATGAGTTTAGAAGTAATGTCAAAATGTTAAGCATGTCCTTTTTAAGAAAATATAAGGTTTCTAATTGTCTAATTACCATGGTAATTCAAGTGAATTAGAAGTATTTAACTGCAATCTTGAATTATAAAGTTGGGATGCATATATATATATATATATATATATACACACACACACACACACACACACACACACACACACACATATATATCAGGATCTCAACTTGATGTAAAGTAAATGAGCAGTTACCTGGCGGATTTTTTTTTTTTTTATAACTGGTTTAATCCATAATTCCATAACAAACTTAGCTTCACTTCAGTATTTACTTTATCTTTGTCCATCCAAACATGCTCCAATATGGAAATGATAGGAAATAACTAAGATTACTAAAAGATTTTATTTTATTTTTAGAAAGATAAGTTTCTAGGATCTTTGAATGCTGGATTTTTTTGTCTTACCCATCCATGGCAGCTAAAAAAAAAAAAAAATCAAAATATTCAGGTTTACATGTTAGCTCTCTCATAGGGAGTTGCCATACCTCACAGTTCAAAGTGTATTCTATAGATCAGTAACATTATACTGACATGTAATTGCAATTTACTATGCAGCAAAAATGATTCAAGAAGAAAAATAACCTACAGTGTCTATTTACCTTTGTATAGGGAATTGCTTAAGTTACTCTGCTTTTAACATTTGTACTTGGATAAAATGCTTATGTATGTATAGGAATGTCACAGTGCAAGATGCTGCTAGCCCAGGCACAAAGTATTAAAATTATTTTGTGAAGATTGGTGGTTGTATTAAAACTGTTGTGCCATTATACCTCAAAAAGATTGAAACGTTCATTTATACTGCTTATGCCTCAGAACTTCTTTAGATTGTTGTCTTCTAGGTAAAAGTAACCTGCTTTTACTACCTCAGATTAATAAGGATGAACAAACATTGGATGTTAAGCATTTAAGAGTATCTTCCAAAAATATTGTATGGTCACACACACACAAATCCAGGCAAGGCCTGAATTTTAGCTCAAGAATATTTCTTAAGTATTAGTTGAACAAACTTGGAGTTGGAAGTAAATTCATGTCTGAAGGAAAGAGTATAAATCATCCACAGAGCAGCTTCTAGCCTGTTAAAAACAACACTACTTGTGTTCACAGTACCATATTCCCCATCAGCCTACATACTACTTACTCTTCATCAAATCTAAGATGCTATCACTACACTATTCTTTTAGATACCACTAAAAGGCAAAATATTGTTGAATAAACTGTGGCAAGCCATTGATCAGAAAACACATCCTGATTTCCAAAATGTTAGCATAAAAAATGTGCATCTTAGAGTCAAGGAAATGTAAAAATACAAAATATATGAGGCATGATAAAAATCACAACTGTCACTTCACCCTATCTTTTCAAAGCAAATAATGCTTTAAAATGTGAATATATAGTTTATATATTATGAAACATTTTATGCAATTTTCTCAAATTTACTCACAATATGAGTTAGAAAATTTTAAACATACTCTGGCTAACTTTTAAAAAAAAATTTTTTTTTTTT